TATGATTGTTAAAAAAACACCGCATATTTCTTTGATATTTTTGATTATTATCCTGAAGAAGTCCAGACAAGTTAGCTGGACGAAATTATTTAAATCTGAATCACTGAGATTATTTCAAATATAAGTTTCACATATAGTGACTTCTCTACACTCGGCGCCCAATATTTGTCAGGCTATTCGTTCTAATCCTGACGAATATTTGTATAAAACACATAATGAACTATAACCATTTTTTCCTAAAGTGATAAAGTTTACTATAAAAAAAATTTCATTACAATTTTAGGGTTTATACAGTCATTTGAAAATATGTGTTTATAGTATTCTCTTGATGCTTAAATGAACTATTTATTAGGTGGTCGAAAAGATTTGTAGCTCAGGTGAATGATTTTGATGGAGTTTTGGTCTTTGAACCGGATGGTTTGGTCTTGGAGTTTTCATCATTCTTCTGAACGACATCATCAGCACAAAATATCCAGGCCAGAGATCAAAACTTCATCAAAAATAACTATTTATTAGTAGGCAAAGATGGATAGTGGCTAGCAGTGGAATCCAGGACGCGCGTTTTGTCCTATTCTAGCTATTCTAGCTTCTGGACAGACATTTATTCATTCTCCTCCAGCCACATTTTGACCTTGTCACCTATTCGTTTATTGACCATGACCTTTTTTATATGATTGTTTGTGTGTTAATTGCTTACCCTATTTATCACGTGTCTGTAATTTATTTTTTGTCGGAATATAATTGTTGGGCCGCGCTTTATTAAATGGAGTTAGCTCACATGTCTTCTCTGATCCTTTTTGTTTCTCTTTCTTTACTATCCTTCTATGATCGTCTGTCTGTATCAACAGCTGTAAAGAATATACGTATTCTAAATTCATTCTTGCATTTGACTTATTTAAGTCCGTTATTCACTAAAGTGAGTTAATTCCATGGTTATACAGGAAGGTAGCCGAGACGCATATTTCAATAGCAATCATGCAACATAACTGGAGTCACTTAATGAGTCATTAAACCAGCATCACCATGTTGTGACCCCGTTTGTGGTCGTATTGCGTACGATCATCGGGTCGTGGTTAAAAACCGGGGGCAGTGAGAATATCTAATGAAAGTATGAAAACAGTTGTTATTTTTATTGTTGTTTAGACAGTTGTAATTGATATCGTGTCAGCATTGTTGTATCAGCGAATGAACTTTCTGCAATTAGTAAACAAACAGATCTCTGGGCTACCATTCGATTACTAGCTCCGGTCTAGCAGTTGTGGTTAGTTAATCACTGTATTTAAATATTGATAAAGATAGTGATAATCCAATAGCGACCGAATCCTCTGCAAATGTTTGATCACTTTATTTAGGTGCGTTCACAATTACTTACGCCTGGTACCCCTCATCGACGAGCATATGCCAACCAAAAGTACTCTCCATCCAACTATGCCATGGACAATCCTCTCCAGTTCATTTGAGTTTCTATGTATTTTTACGTGTTCTTCGGCCTTTTTCTATTCCGTTTCCCATCAGGATTCAATTTAGCGATGGTCTAGTGATGTAGTTTGGTGATTTTCGTAATGCATGTCCTATCAACTTCTAACATCTTTTTCTAACTTCCTCTTCAGATGGAAGTTGGTTTATTCTCTCTCACAGTATGTTGTCCCTGATGGTATCCGACCAACGGACATTCAGTATCTTACATAGACAACTGTTTACAAATACTTGTACCTTCTTGATGATGGTTGTAGTAGTTCTAACAAGTTTCAACTGCGTACAGTAGAACTGTCTTACCACTCGTATTGATGATTCTCACTCTGATATTAGTCAACAGTTGTTCTGAGTTTTTTATATTCTTCAATTGTAGGAATTTTGTCTTTGCTTTGCCAATCCTCGCCTTCATGTCTGCATCAGATATTCCAGGTTCATCGATGATTCTACTCAACTACGTGAAAGATTCCATCTCTTCCAGAGTTTCCACGCAAACTGTGATTGTGTTGGTGTTCTCCTTGTTGTATTTGAGGATCTTGCTTTTTCCTTTATGTATGTTGAGACCCACTGATTCAGAGGCTGCTGCTACACTTGTTGTCTTGATCTGCATTCGCTCATGTGTATGGAATAGAAGGGCAAGGTCATCTGTGAATTCTGAATCTTCTTGTTGATTCTGAGCTTTCCACTGTAGTCTGTGCTCCGATCGAGATGTGGTGGTCATCATGCTTTAGTTATTCATCAGAAGAATTTGGAAGGGTGAGATTAATCAGCTTTGTTTGACTCCATTCCTCATATGGAATGCATCTGTCAGCTGACCTTTATGCACCTCTTTGCAGGGCAGTCCGTCATATGAGTTCTGTATGATACTGACGATCTTGTCAGGTACACGATTATGTCGAAGAACTTTCCATAAGGTCCTCCTATCGAGATTGTCAAACACTTTCTCACAGTCAACTACCTGAAACTTTTTTTCATTATACGCTATTCGTTACATCCAGAGCACTTTTAAATGGATCTGGTAATTTGACTTCGACGTGATGTTATTCCGACAATAATTTGTTTCACCTGTAATTTACCAGTAACTACAGTTACCATATTCGTAATCAAGAAAGTAGTTGTTGTGTACTTTCTAAAAATTTACCGTCAATTTCTACTGAGCGAATTAGACGTTTGGCAACGGTCAGTAGCGTTCGATGCCTAGTATTTAATATATTGTGCTTCCATTCATCTAGCAGATAAAAACAGCTTATGTATCAAGTTGGCAATTTAGTGTCAAGCAGGGTATCCAATTAACTTCAACTATGATTTTTGCAGTCCGTCTTTTAGTATACTGAATAATATCCATCCTGTAATATCCACATCTCAACGGTTAACCATAATTAATATTGACGTAATGGTGTTTTGTACTTCGACTTTCATAATAATTTCATTCCATGTCATTGGTTACCCTTATGAATTTAAATAAGTGTGGAAGAAACATGGATGCAAAATAAACTGAATTCATTATATTTCGTGGTTTCTCATCAACTTCTTGCAACCATTTATGTATTGAAAGTCTGCATTAAGGTAAAATATAGTGTAAAACAATCGACATAGATTAATGAAAAGAATTGGAATGACAAAGGTTCTTTGAACGATCTCAACAGACCAAAACTACAGTGTTAAGCTAGTTTTCCGTGCTACAGAGTGTAGAAAGCTAACGACTGAAGGGCTTTGGTCACTTTGACTGAAAAAGCGTTCAAAATGGATGTGAATTATAATCAGAAACATTGTGTGTAAGGTTTTCGCTCCTTGATATGCGAGTGACTTGGAGCATTTAGTATGTTATAAGCCATTATCAGAGAACCTCTTATTCTCCTATAGCTCCTCAATTTTAATCCTAAGTTTTGGGGTCTCCATGTTTAGGTCACTCGTAACTAGTAATTGGTCTGTTATAACTATATAATACTGCCTGAGAAGCAAAATAAATTTCACAAATAACGATATATCTGATAAGCCTAGAGGAAGTAAATGATTCAAGGAAAGGATATGACGGAGTGAATGTTCCACTATCATTTTATGAATTCATCTAACATCTCTCGTCATCGTTGACTTTGAGTGCTTGTAACAAATAACCTCATGTTTGACGACCAGTTTACAGTGGTGGGTGTCTGTAGAAGGCAAAAATAATAGAAATAAGGTCTGAAACTATTTCGTCGACTTTGCATGTCTGCATGCTGCCATTTTGTAACTAGAAGGATGATGACGAGTGTTGACGTTCTTTCAGAGAAGGAAAATATTACGTCTGGCCTATTGGACGCTATATTCGCTTCCCTAAGCTAGTTCCGTACCCCCGAGCCAGAACTATACACCGACTTGAAGACCAGAGAAAAGGCACAAAGTGTGTGGGAAGCACTTTACTACAGTGTTCATTCATGTACAGAAAATATAGGGACTTTATAGTAATTTAAGAGTCCTTGAGTTTTTACTTAAAGTTCTAGAATACTGCTAAACATAGTAGCAGTGTATAAATCAGCCAATCAGGATCTCCACATCTGACTTTTCCATTTTCGTTATTTTAGAAACATAACTTCACATAACTTCTAATTAATCGCTGATTGGTTGAAATGCTCCTTGATGACCCCTGAGCTTGTTATGTCTTTTAGCATCCTCTCAGCAATACACTTCAGTTTAGAGAACTAGAAGCCCTCAAAATATAAGCGTTTTACAATTGCTACACTACAAAAGGCGAAACCAGGGGATAATCCTACAGTTTCTGACTCTAAGCAGGCTTTCTTATTCAAGCTTCTACCAGTAACATCACTTCCGATCGAATCGTGAAGATCAACTTAGAGTGAATGTAGTTTAAAGTTAAAAGAAACTATCTCATCCAACTACATAGGTCAAAATATAAAACCTGACTCTAAAATTCTCCAGACGGCTGGGCCAACTGAATCTTCGATTGCTTTTAAAACGCAAACACGCTGGAACCTGCAGCCACTTAACTTCGTTGAACTCTTTAAAGAGATACGAATCTCCTTCCAAACTTGGACGCTTGATATACCTGCTCAACTACAGTCATCATCAGTACTCAACTTTGAGAGAACGCCAGGAAACTGCTTGTATAATTCTTGGCTTATTTACAGGCAGTCAGGTAGTTGAGCACGTACAACGAAACATCATTAAACCCATTATCTTTTTATTTCTAGATATATTATGGGTTAATTCCATCCTCTTCATCTTATTTGATACATTGTTTTTTATTTTGTAAGATTGATTCGTTCCTGCATCCTCATTCTCTTCGCGAATTTCTTAACATGACTAGTCAATTAAACTTCAGTGGACTGACATTTGTCAGTTTGAATAACTGATAAAAGAACAATTTAAGACAGCACTGAAACCGTTGGTTTTGCTCTCCTCCCTTCAGGCAAAGCTCCCTCTTTCCTTTGTCATTCCACTGACGATTGTTACTTTTCAGTTACTCATTTCCGTGGGATATGCAACCTTTTTCCCTTCCCAGTCTTCTTTTTTCCGCGAGCATTCTAGATATGGGCGTATCAAGGTCAGTAAAAGGAAGCGTCAGTGATGTGACAACATATTCAAACAACTCTTAGATCACATACCTCTCGAACACATCGACCTCTCAATAAAATTTCGAGCTCAATACAAATTCATAAGATCGACTCCTCACTATGAACTTTGGTCAAGACGATGTACCCACGGTCACTAGCACTTCAGACACTAAAAAATCAACGGAAGCGGATTAACTAGAACCGAAATCCTGAGACAAATTACATAATGTATTGCTGTCCCACTGACTACGGTAATTAATATGTAACCTGGCCAAGGTGAGTTTCCTATAGACTGGAAACATGCATTTGTTACAAATTTCATAAAGCAGAATCAAGACAACTTTCATTAAACTACAGATCTACCGTCCTAATCAGTGTCGTAGTTAAAATACAGAAAAGTATGATCGAAAAGGCTCCAATGGCAATCGTGGATACCAAGAAATTGTTAAATAACGAACAACATGGTTTTAGAGAAGAATTATCTTGAACAATGTGCTTTCTTATAGTTAGAGAGTGATAAAAAGCGGTTCTAGATACTGAAGAGTCAGTTGATGTCTGCTTAAACTCCTGCTGAACATTTGATAAGGTGCCAAAAAGTGGACTATTCCTGAGCCTGGAAAATTTTGCAATTGACAGATCTCTCCTAAAGTAGATCAACGATTTCTTGGTAGGTCGTACACAGAATATATTCCACATGCTCCTCCTGGAAACCAATGCTTAACGGAAAACCACAGAACCCAGTCCTAGGTCCCTTATTTTTGACACTGTACGTAAATGCGCTTTCTAGTATACTTGAGTCTCCAATGCTACTATACTCTGATGATATAAAATTTGGCGAGAAATAACGGAAGACCAATTTCAGGAAGACTTAAATGTTATGATAAGCTGGCTTAAAAAAGATGATGTCTATTAACCCAGCCAAGGGTGTCCATATGCACATTGGGGATACAAATGTAATTAGGTACAGCATATGGGAAGAGTCAGTGCCTGTAATCCTGTCTCAACAGGAACTTGGGGTGACCCATGATTTCAAGACCACAACCCATTGTCACGAAGTAGTGGTATAGGAGCTTAGAACCCAATGGACTTCAAGTTGGATAAACACCAAGTTAAATACCACTACGTTCTCTATAGTATGCATAACTTTGATGAGATCCAAACGTGGGAACTAGACTATCACTAAAATCCTATATTTAAAAGGTTGTTTAGATACTTTGGAAAAAGCGCATATGTATCTGTCTACGCTATTCCAGAGCTCTAGAACCAAACGAAGAGTAGGTTAAGAGAAGGTCCAGTTTTTATGTATAGAATACTGAGAAAGGATTTTGAATTTAATATATCGTCTCTCTATCTTCCTAACAAATCAGACAACTCATTGAACGTACCAAGCGAGTACAAAAGCCAAGAGCGAAAAATAACTGTGACATGCAAAATTTCACATCAAGTTATCAGTTCTTGGAACTTGTACGTGTAAGCGGTTCATATAAATAATACGGTACTTTGGAACTACTAACTAAGCATTCCATAAACTATCAGTGATGTTGGTAGCAATCTAAATATTGAAGTGATATAGTGTTCAAACACTTGTCTATAAACCTCGGAATATTCATCCTCGGTTAGTTAACTTCATACTGTAGTTAGATCGTTCGCACCAATGGTAACAGGAAAATAATATACGGGAATAGTTAAAAAGGAATTCGGGGTCAGTGGCCCTGTCGTTGGAATACGATTAGTTGTTATTTTAAATCGTTGTGTCGCTTGTTCTCGAATGTAAACAAATACCGCTGAATCTAAGTTCGTAGAGGTAAAATACTTACTCGTACCTGATCAGTATTACTCCAGTGACTTCTGCCTATATACTTGTCAAAGTTTACGTCACTCTGGTAGGCTAACACATATTTAGTGGTCACTAATAATTCAACAATCAGCATCTACCTCTGTTTTCACCTGCACGCATTAGCCTCTCTGCTGAAATCCTCTTGATGTGCTTGTAACGTTTTTATCCGCGCTATTCATTAATAAACCATGTTCGACGCTTCGTATTACCTTCTGAGTTCTTACCTCGTTGGGTTTTAATCAGTAACGTTTACTAGGGTGAATAATAAGCAAATCCTTAGGAATTACTTTGAAACCAAGCCACTACAAATTATCAACTATTCAGGTTTTAGTGTCTCAAGAGAATCTGAGGTTCATCGAATATAAAAACGAAAATATGGTAATCTGAATAGTTTTCGTCTGCCTTTCATAATTCAATAAGCTTGACATTCTTTATTGATGTAGAAGTTAATTTCCTCCGTCAGATATAAATTGTGGATAGCACTGCCGTATCCTCAAAGTTACAGCACCATTAGGATTTCTTTACATTGAATCAAACAGAATTTGTTCGTCTGTCGGTTCCTTGCAAAATACTTTAATTATAGCAGAAGGTAGTTGCATGAATATAGGAAATTGTTATTATTTTCCCATAGATACATATTATTTAATTATTATTTAAACACATAAATATTGGTACAAAAAGCACTAAATAAATATGCACCTCACAAATCAAATGAGATTTGTGTGAGGGCTGTGATACTGCTCAGGTGCCCAGACTGAAGCAGGTGGTTTTCTTAGGGGGCCACATCCGGAGCCTTTGACCTAAAGGTCTGATCCACAAGGCAGTGGAGCATCGTGAGGAGATGCAGTCCCATGGTAGCCGGTGACCAACGATTGGTTCATACGCCATTCGTTCCATCAGGATCCTGGAGCCCATGTGCACCATTGGTTTGGAATCTGGGTTTTCCAACTCCCCTAGGTGGACACTCCATGTCCACCAACCCTGTTAAAGCGCTGGACATTCGCTTTTCATCCTCTCAATTTGTAAATAACAGTAATGTCATTAGAATGCAGTGAGTAGGACTTCTCTGTCAGAGGCTATATATTCGCGTGGCCATGTGAGAGCATTTCGAGAGGGAGAGCGGACTATCTCCACTCTCGGCCGTACCAGGGCATTTGGGGGCAGATACATATATGTGCGTAAAGGTCGACTGTCTTAATGCTTCAGTGTTGGTAAAAATAAACTCACTATGGTCCTCTTGATTTTCATTTTGTTCTTTCAGAATTACCTATGCCGATGTCAACATGTCATGTTGGATCGGTGGTTACACCACTGGCTGTCTTAAATCGACTACCGGGCTGGCTTGGCACGTTGGTTATCAGCCCTGATGGATCAGTTCTTCAGTCAGCTGGTGAGTTAGTGAACAACAAAGAATTAGCCCAACATTTTGCTGCGATCGCTAATAGAGTTGGTCGTCTATTAAATATGGAAGGTGAAAGAAAAATTCAACAATTCAAAAGATTAACTGGTGAGATATGAAATACATTAAAAAAATAGTTGATATTATAAATCACACAATGACTTGAAGTAATATGTTCTTCACCTCACTGAGATGTTTTAGAGATATTTACGTAGGAATGAGCAACCCCTGTGTTGAAGTATTTCTGTTAATGAAGGATAATTTAAGAATGGTTGGCCTTATAAATATTGACTTTGCACTCTCGCATTTTGAAGCCTGCTGTAAGGCTTTTGAAATTTCAAACTCTGCCAACCTGTTTCATATGTTAAATGCTACTATCTTGAAGCAATTCTTTATCGGACTATATTGACAGGGAATCTATTCGGATTGACAAGCAATACTGGACCGCTTCTCATATAAGCTTCAAAAGAGCTGAATCCATCAATAGACTAATCTTATGGATTAAATACTGCTGCGTAGAGTAATTAGTCAGTGTTTGGAATTCAGTCATAGTTCCTTTCTATCCCCATTGGTTACTCGCTATAGTTTATTAAAACAAGCAAAACTTCCGTAATTTTAGTTCCAAGCAATCGCTTGTAATTATACTTTAAACCAACTCAACAATTTGAAATTATAGTGATCGGAAATAAAAGAGCCGGAATTATAATGTCAACAGTAGCAAAAAGTCAACCATAAAAAGTGTGGTTCGAAAATTATAAATAAAAGAAGCCATGAAGAATGCGTAGTAATTTTAAAACTTAAAATCTAAGGGAAGGTGACAAATCAGTGTTTCTGTACCACTGCAACTAAATTAAGTCGTTTGACCTGGGACCTCCTACCATAGATCACCTTTATCTCGCGGATCACAACCAGGAGATTTCTATCTCAACATGGAGCAATAAAACAATTGGTAATTTTATTGATTGACCTCAACGTGGTGTGTGTCTACATAACCTTTTCTCAATGTAATTATGTCGTAGTTAATATTCCACATCTGGGTTCGACGGCGACTGGACATTTGTAAGACATGTTTGGACCCCTAAATTCGACGAAGATTTTGATTTTTTCAATTGATTAACCAGTCGTGATTTAATACTTTCAGTGACAAACACTGCTACGAAATCACTTAACCAAGGTACTTGATTACCAGCCTTTGTCGATGTTGCATCTTGTGTTCTAGATGGTGTAGTCATATAGTTTTGCCTGTTTCTGGGACGAGGATCCTAAAATGTGACTTTCAATAGTTCCACTGAATATCTTTTAATGACCCTTCCTGACGAAGTATTATGTCTGTTGTTGGTAGTTTTATTGTCACTGCTTTCAGAAAGATCAACAAAATAAGCACCAAAATATTATCAGTAGCAGTCAATCACATTCCCTGTCTCCAAGAAAAATTACTACTCCAAAACGTGAGGGAATCCTTAAAGTTATCTCATTTTTAAATTTTGTGTCGATATTGTTATGTACCTGTGTATTCGTTTCGCAGTGGTAGAAACTTCACATGGTGTTGCTACAAATAGCCTAAAGTATCAACCTTCGAACAATTAATTATGTTATTAATAATTCTTAATTTTTTCCATATCGCAGAGACCAAAGATATGTTGCGTAACCCTTTTCATAGTTCTGTCAGGTTTACAGTTGCGCAATTATCAAAGATCAAATTTAGCTGTGGATCGTAGAGTGTTAAAAGCATCCTAAATTAGCTTTCACTACGATAGATAGTCCATTTTTCGTGGACCTGGATAATCAATAATTGAAAGTAATATGATGCAACTGTATCCGATTTCGGCACATTAATCAATGTTTGAATCAACCAAGTAGTTATGAGTGTTGGCTCGTTATGTTTCTAAATCCTTGTCCAAATCGAGTTAGTTGAAGTTTACAAGTTCATACCTTTCAACCTTTTGCTACTATAGCATTTACGTTTTGGTCTCCTGACCTGAGTTTTCCAGTGAGGCGTCTGGCTTTCATGTAAGGGAACAGTATGTCCTAACCAAAATTTTCATGTCAATGCTTCAAGAAAACCTTGCATCTAGTCACAGAAAACCCTGCATATGAGTTATCGTGCTTGATGTTACGATAAACTCGGTACACTGTAAGCTGATTGTATATTTCAATAGTGGCTAGTTTTCTACCCTTTGTTTCATAAAAGCTCAATGTCCATGATTTCAGAAAATCCTAATGTTGGTAGCCTCTAATATATATTTCCCTGTCTAATTGAGATTTAATAGCATATCTTCAACTTAGTAGTATGAAACGGTCATTCAACATCACTAAACCAGTCCCCAATACATTCAATCTTTCATATTGATACCTGCTATTCAAAACAGAATTCGACTGCATAAATAGTAATGATAATTTTCTTTTATGTTTTCTTCCTTTCATTTATCCATTTAAAGTACACTTCGAGCATTCAATATATATTATGACATGTGTTGGTGATACCATTTATGTAGTAAAACGTCTACCCGATAATCAGAATATTTCATACGCAGATACATATCAACAATTACATCTTGTCAAATCGGATAATAGTATGACCAATAATAACAACCCTGTTGATGTACATCATTCTTCTACTGCTATTAATACTCCTAACAATTTAGTTACAGTAGATAATCACGGACCTCATTTTTTTGAAACACGTGCTTCAGATGATTATTAAAAACGAATGTAATACCATATTTCCCCTCCCCTTTACTTCTTCATCGTAACAATAAATATGATTTAAAGTTTACCATAATTATGTAGCGAAATCATTATCTTTTGTGTAAATAATGTTGCTTCTTTTGTATCTGTTTATTTTTCATTTTAAAATTTGAGAATATACAAGTCTTTTGATAATCAGCCTTTTTCTTCATACCGACATGGTTAAAACTGTGAGATATTGTAACATTTTGAAGTTCAAAACATTCATATCTTTTACTAAAAGTGTATCAACCTAGAGGTGAATAGACTCAATTACTAAAACAGTGCCACTACTTTATTCTTCATGAAGGTGACATCAGGTATGTGTGGATAAGTGACTCATAAACAATGTAGAGCCTGATAACTTTTACTGACGCCTGTTACCTCTCATGAAGGATCGTAGACCGCTAACGAGGATTCTTTATAGAACTAGCAAGGGTATAAATTGCCTCAAGTTCCTACTGTACATTATCATAATGAGATCAAATAAATAAGATACATGGTAAACGGAGTTGAAGTATTGTCATATATTGTTGGAAAAAGTACCTAGAGAATATGGCTTGGAGAAATCGAAATATCTCTGCAATTTAAAGGTATTTTGTGTAGAACAAACAATTCGTTATCTTGTTTACTACATATGCTGTTAATAGTATATTGTGTTAGTAATAACTGGGTTAATCCTCCAAAACGACTGAAAGCACAACAGTAATGTTCACATAATTCTTTTTTAAAGATATGATTTAATATGTGAATGAAGAAGAGATGGGTATAAAGTATTTGCTATAAGTATTTCCATTTTTCTTGATCAAGTCAACCACTGAGTTACACGTTCTAATCTCCTTCCACTTTCTTCGATTTGGACAATTGTGTAATGTAACTATCCGTCATACCTAAGGTTCCCCTCGAATGTGTATTTAATAAACGGGTTACATTGTTTAATAATAACAACAAGATTAACTAAATTTTTAATGATTTACTTATTGGTAGTATTAACAGGTAATTACACTGTGTCGCTAAAAATATCCCATCAGTAATGTTGTTCTACATATTGTTTCGACAAAGAGTTTTGGTTTTTTCAATCATGCCGCGCAAAGGTTGATCTTACTACTGACGATGACTTATAATCAATGAAGGTAATGTAGGCCTCTGATGCGATTTCTCTGAAATCAGACATTTCATGGTTTATGCTCTCACGTCTAAATACATTTCTTATGCGTGTGTTCTAAAGTTTGCATCCAAGAATTTCTGTTAAACTCACAAGTAATTACTCCTCAGTAACATTGCCATAACGAGTTAAGTAAAAAAAATAAATTCTATTCCACTTTTGTGGAATTACCGTTTCTATGTTTAAATTCACTCAGCTATATAACTCAGAATGGCAAAACTAAACTGCTCAACCCCACCCCCCTACAATACGTCAAAACCAGCTTACGGATTTATTTCTTCTTACCTAAACTGTGTGAATGAAATATGGGTTAAAACTCGGTTATTTACTCCATTTACTGTTATTCCCTTGTTGCTTATATTCCCCCTCCCCAACCTACCTTCATCTATCTGTTGATGATATCTTATTTGTGTTGTTCATGTTTCTTCTGTTGCCTATTTGTATCGATGTTTATGTGTTTTTTAATCGAAAGTAATCATTGAGAACGACTTAGTTGGCTTTTCTAATTGCTTACACTTGTCATTGAAGTATAAACTTATTATATCTGTGTGATTTGGTTTCACCTAATTAGTCTGTTACACTGTTTTGCCATTTAAATTAAACGTTTATCATCGCTGATACTCTTGAGTACACTCACGAGTGACATTTTTAAAATTTGTTTTTAAGCTACTTATAAGTAATGTACATGGATCTGAAATATTTTACTAAACCACTCGGCGAGGCTATAATTAATGGACGACCTTTGAACGAATCTTAAGTGACCTTGAGAAATGTCAGCCAATAAGTAAACAGTCAGCATAGAGTAAAAATATATTATACGAAACCAAATAATTAAATTGAATACACTACTTTTATATGGTCCAAAAACTTGTCAAGGTTAGGAAAATATTCAAGGTTTCCAAAATCGTAATGCATAAGGTAGAGGAACTCATCCATATGGCTCCATAATACTTGGTCTCTGGAGCCATGATAAGGTAGCAAAAACTCTCTCAGCCTCAACTACATTGCTGCTATATTACTTGTATGTACTCCAGTTGTGTAAGTTTGTTATTGTTATTATGGATATGTCCCTACAATACTCATACCACTAAACAGCCGAAGCTTCAGTAACATCTGCGATTATTGTAGCCAATGTTACTGGTGCTTTTATTATATAGTTCGCGGCAATTATTATAATATGCCCTAGTCTCGATCTGGATCGAGCGAAAAAGGTTCCTATTATAGCAAACGTCTTCGTTCAACTTATAATACATCGAAGGACAACATCACGGTAGTCTGCAAAAGGTCTACGAGTCATTTAATACTCGTAATTACAAACACAGGAACTTCTTAGTAGTTTCATTTGTGTGTAGCCGCTTAATTATCAAGTCTTCTCTAAAATTATCTGTGAACCGGTTGTACATGAGCGTCAGGTACTGAAATTAGCGCCGTGACCTTGAAATCCCTCAAACGCTTCTGATCGGCTCGTCCATAAACTATAGTCTCGCCAAGTACTCCAATGATACTAAATAGCAAGCACATATGTGTATGCATATAAAGCTATTTCGCATGCCATGAAATAGTGTTTGGGATGTTTATGATAACAATTCTAAAATTATTTTTTTCAAAAGAGTTGCACCAAAGTAGTGAACTATAACCATGGTAAATTTAAGGTATATTAAAGAATATCTTGTATAATTGATTACCCATTTCATTCATAACTGCAAATCCAAATTTCACCTAAAATCATTGTTCCCCTTGATCCAGAATATGTTACCATGGATAATCCGTTGATATAGACGACTTAAGTGATTCCTGTAGAAATTTCAATGTCGATCGCTGTAGATATACGTCTATAGGGTTCGCATTTAGTCATTACAACCGAGATCGTTTACACTGACTGTGTTTTTCATGTATCTTAGACTTAGCACTGTATTAACTGGAACCAGGATGCTTCATTTTAAATGTTTAGACTTTCAGATGTAACATCAAAACAAAAGTGACGTAGGAAGATGGATTCTTAGCATAGGTTTACATGAAAAAAGCGCTGTCCTGTTTGTTATCTTTTAAATAGTATAAAATTGACTACAACTATCAAGTAACTGTCCCACATAAAAATGGTCACAGGCTTTAGTCCTTTACTTTACTGACCGTCAGAATGAATCATTGTGCATTTTTGACGTAATTTTGAGGTTTAAAATCCATTGAATTTATTTATAACACACTCAGTTCTGATTACACTATTTTTAATTTAAATACTATCTGACTGTTTTCCGTTCAAGAAAATCAGAGATCCTTTAAATTGTGCTTTCTAGTTATATTTTTATTGTTTCTTTTGTGAAATTCGTTTTTTAAAATACATAGGGTTTATTTCCAAATCCATGAAGTCACTGACAATTGGACTGAGCCATGCTGGTAGGTGAAGACCACCTGGTTGGGATTCGCGAGATGATAGCAATCGATGGTTAGAGACCTTGAATGGCACGGCTCAAAATCGTTTTCAATGGCGAGGGTGCATCCACTCTTTATGTTCTCCCAAATTCCAATCTTCTGAATTCTTCATGTCTCTATCTTTTTTCTCTTTTCAAATTTATTTGACTGTATTATACTCTATCAATAATATCTTCAAACCCTAATCTTTCGCATTCCTGCTTATATTCTTACTACTTCTACCACTATGGGATTAGAATCGACAACTGCATCTCTGTGTTAATGTGGTATGGCAACTCGAACTGAGGGACGTACGTACGAAGTTCTACGTTGTGACTGACTGACTTACTACTTAAATCACTGTAGATAGTAATTAAAATATTGTAATGAAATAAAATTCTACAACTAGTTTAATGAACTACTTGGATCTGAGTCTGACTTTAAGATTACTAGGACTGTTTACAACATATCTAATATAAATTAAATTGTATAGCTATAGACGCATGGAGATTACCCTTCTTGAGTTATCTCTATTCCATTAACTACTATTTCCCCTATTTTCAGCCACATTTGGCTAAATCTTGTACAAGTGTTATTTTCTATTTTATGGTACGATATGGTCAGTTTGATTGGTATATAAACTCAGTATGTTTGAAAATAATGATTCATATTACAGAGACTGTTATTGGTGTTCTGAACTTAACTGGATGGGTTAGGCAGATAGCAGGACTGTTAAGTACTCAAGACTGCTCATACGGCTTTTGTATATCATTGCTCTGACCGATAATTCACTCGTCTCTAATTGGCGGCCTCGTCGCGTCATATATTAACAGGGGACGCACGCACTCTCTCGATATAACGATCCCACCTCGCGAGATTCGAAGCCAGGACCTATCAGTTTCACGCGCGAGCGCAAACATATTTACTGTTTTCTAATGTTTGGCTCGTATTATCACTTCTTCATCATCATTTACTTTGCTTAGATAATAGATGAGTATCCAGTTGTAGAACTTGTATGTTTTAATAATCTTAATAGATTTAATCTCTTTTTTAAGAAAATATAAGTTTATGTTATCTACTTTGTGTCCGATTGTTTATATATAGAATATTGATATTAATCAGTTACTTAAATTAAAGTAATTGAATTAATAACCGGATTAATTTTTAAGCAATCTTTGTTCCAATCGTTAATCTACTATAAGCAAAGATGTATAGTGGCTAGCAGTGGAATCCAGTTTGACGCACGTTTCACCCTATTTGGGACTCATCAGCTGGATGTACCTGCATCTCAGAGTTCGTGTTCACTCTATGACTCGAACCTAGTACCGTTCGCTTCAAATGCCATCACGTTATCCACTTACCTACTGAGTCCCGATAGCCATTTGCTTGTGCGATGGGGTAAAGATTATTCTACTATTTTACAACACAAGTATACTCTTAGAGATTATCATTATTTATTATTTAAACACAAAAATATTGGTACAAGCAAGCACCAGATACATATGCACCATACAAATCTCATTTGATTTGTATGAGGGCTGTGATACTGTCCGTGTGCCCAAACACAAGCAGGTGGTTTTCTTAAGCGGCCACACCCCGAGCCTTTGACCTGAAGATCTAGTCCACAAGGCAGTGGAGCATCGTAAGGAGATGCAGTCCCATGGCAGCCGGTGACCAACGATTGGTTCATACGCCATTTATTCCTTCAGGATACTGGAGCCCATGTGCACCATTGGTTTGGAATCAAGATTTTCCAACTCCCCTAGGTGAACTTTCCATGTCAACCAACCCCGTTAGAGTGCCGGGCATTCGCTTTCCGTTCTTCCAATTTTGTAAACAACAGTAGTTCCGCGAGAAGGCAATGAGTAGGACTTCCCTGGTATAGGCTATATACAAGTGGCCATGTGAAATCATTTCAAGAGGCAGAGAGAACTCTTTTCACTCTCAACCGTAACAAGGTATTTGGGGGCTAAATAGCATTTTATTTATTGTATTTAATTAACTAAAATTAAAATGAATAACATTAGTTTAATTTAAACAATTTTCAAAGTATATTTTATGTTAAAATTTATTCATTATAAATTAACTTTTATTACATTAAAATTAAACAATCATTTTCTATGAATTACTCTCATTTTGTATTTAAATCAAAATTCAAAATGTATTTCTCAAGAAAGAAAGAAGCAAAAAAGGGGGGAAGAGCGAGGAGGGCGCTGTAAAACTCATAGAGTTTCAGTTTTCTGTTATGTAATGTAATAAGAAAATTAGTTAAAAGAAAATATAAACACAACTAATATTGATTGTTTTTTTTTCTTTTTTTTCTCTCTCTCTCTCCCTCTTTTTGTTTTAAAAAATAATTCTATACAATAAAAGAAAATTTTTAAACAATTTTGAATATTACGCTAATTATTGTTAATTAAATTTTTTTAAAATTTAAATAAACAAACAAATAAGAATAATAAAACAATTTTTGAAATTTGAATATTTTTCTAATTTCTCAAGGTTATTCATATATATTTATATATATGGATATATATGGATACATATTTGAATTTAAGTAATACATATTTATAAATGATTTGAAATGTCCATATTTGCAAAGCATAAAACGGTTCTGATTTTTTTTCTTTTTTTTTCCTTTTCTCGAAAAAAAAGAAAAAAAATATAAATAATTTTAAAATTTTAGTTATTTTTTTTTGGTTCATAGAATATGAACAAACTATTGAAAATCTATTCAAATAGGTGATTTGTTTATTTAGAAATTTCTGTTTCTTCTTTTATCGTTTCAAATTCATTTACATTTGAATGAGATAGATTCATTGAATATTGAACTAAAAAATATGATGCATAGTGATAAGTAAGCAAAAGAAAAAAAAAGAGAAAAAAAATTGTCTATTCATGATAAAAAAGAGTTTGGAAATAATTAAACAAAACAACAACAAAAAACACAAGATGACTGATTAATGTTTTTTTCATGGATGTTTTTATTTAAATGAAGTAAAAATTTGAAAAATAATTTTCGTTTTTTTTTTCATTGCTTATAAGATATTGTAAATAGATCTGAAATTAGAAAATAAAAAAAAATTTTTTTTTTTAATATTCTTAGTTCAAATCATGAGACAATTGAAGGTAGACCATCATGGAAAACTTGGAAGCACTAGATGGTCGTTTCGTCCTATTGTGCGACTTTTCAGCAATGCTCATTCACGATCTTACCTCGTGAGATTCGAATCCAGGACAAATCATTACACTTCATTAATTAATTTAATAATTCATTCATAACTTAATTGTTTAATTTAAACAATAATTTTAACTAAATATATATTGTAATTATTTAATAAACAAAAGTGATTTATTGCCTTTTTCTTTCATAAAAGTTTGTTTTTCTTTTAAAATAGTGTAATTTAATATATTTAAAATGAAACGATTGGTTATATATTTTTTAATATTTAATATACTACTTAAAATCAAACTTAAGTAGGAAGATATTTGAAATAGTCTCAGCGATTGAAATTTAAATAATTCCAACGTTTCGTCCAGCTAACTTGTCTGGACTTCTTCAGGGAAATAATCAAAATCAAAAACATCAAAGGAATATATAATGAATTCTCTATACTCGGCGCCCAATTATTGTCAAACTATTCGTTCTAATCTTGACGAATATTCGTATAAATTAAGTAGGAAGAGTTTATTTGAAAATTTTCATAAATCTATGGTATTAAATGTAATTTTGTTGATACTACAATTTATGGACGAGCCAGTCAGAGGCGTTTGATGGATTTAAAAGTCGCAGAGCCAATTTCAGTACTTGATGCCCATGTACAATCGGTTCACAGACTATTTTAGAGAAAACGTGACAATTAAGCAACTACAATAAATGGGACTACTAAGAAGTTCTTTTATTTGTAATTACGGTAATCAATTGACTTGTAGACTTGCGCAGGCTACCCTGATGATGTTATCTTTTGATGTAATATATGTTAGATGAAGAAGTCTGTTAGAATAAAAATATTTTCTATCGATCCAGGTTGAGACTAAGGCAAATTATAATAATTGCTGTGAACTGTTTAATAAAGACACGAGTATTATTGGCTGGAATATTCACAAATGTTACTGAAGCTTCGGCTGTACAGAAGTATGAGTATTGTAAGGATATATGCGTAATAAAAATGACAAACTTACACAACCAAAGTACATACAAACAATACTGAAGCCATGTGGTCGAGGTTGAGGGAGTTTATGTGACCGTATCATGGCTCCATAGACCGAGTATTATGGAGCCATACGGATGAGTTCCTCTACCTTGGACCATTTAAAAGAAATGTCCACGAATTATAGTCTCGCCGTAATTTTCACTATATATATAATTCACTTGGTATTATTTGTTTCAATGTTCCCATTGATGTTTAGGACTACAACTAATTAGTCTCTTATTGGCATATGTGTATCCTCTACGTATTGCCTCGATATTGCCTTGATTCATAAGCATTGTAAGCGAATATAGATGATTTCTAGCAGTGAAATCCAGGACGCGCGTTTCGTGCTATTTGTGACTGGTCAATTAGATGTACTTTGATCTAAAAGTTGATATTCATTCTAGGACTCGAACTCAGAACCATTCACTTCAAATGCCATGGCATCAATCACATAGCTATATACATATATATATATAACTGTATTTCGTCAATAAACAAGGTAACACTTGGGTGCTAATTTATTTATTCAATTTTACAAGAAACTAATACTATCCCAAAATTCTATTATATCCATGTTTAGTGTTGAAACATTGAACTTTATGTTTATTTGTTTTTAAAATCTTTCTTTCTTTTTCTTTTGTTTTATTGCCTAAATTTCTTTTGAAATAGTCATAAATGTAAATTTTCAACACTTTTCCCCTTAACAGTATTATAAACTACATTTGCAAGAAGATACTTAGTTTCATTTTAATCTTTGAGAATACTACTTAAATAAAACAATTGTTTATAATCTGTTTATATTTCTAACTTTACTAAATGTTATCTAAATATTTGTTTAACACGGTTGTTGGAGGTGGTCAACAGGAAACCCTGGACCCGGGTTTCGTTCTACTTGGCACTCGTCAGCAAGGTGTACCTGTAATCTTGAGGGAACTGGTGCTCTCTGACGGATTTGACCCCGTGTCACTCAGCTTCACAGTCAGAGACGTTACCACAGAGCTATTCGGGCTGGGACCGAATTTCAATAGTTGAGATCATGAATCAATTGAAGTTAGACCACCATGGAAAACCTGGAAGCATTGGATGAGCGTTTCGTCTTATTGTGTGATTTGTTTTCTATTTTAACTCCGCCTGTAGCTCCTTCGGGGGCTACTGCCGATCTCAAACCCGGATAAAGGAGGAGGGTTGGACATAGGGTTTTCGACCCCATCCCGCAGAAAACTAACTCGATAAAAAAACGCTAATCAGAAAAAAAATATTCAAACCATTTAAGTCTTTTCTATTTTATATAAAGATTAATGATGAACAAAGTAGTTAACTACTTAATAAGGGAAAGGATAAATTATAATGAATGATATGGAAAAGTTGAAATATAACTATGAAATTCTTAGATTGACTTTATCTAGAACTTGCCGGTGATTAAAAATACTAATTAAACACAAGAAAACATTTTTTAGGGGGTCATATTGAAACATTCATAATAAATAGTAAGCTGACTGTCCTCAGTGTTATATACGATGAATAAGCTGTGATGGTTTTGATATCTAACAACAAATAATGAATACGCAAAGATTAAGAGTGGTTAGCAGTGAAATCCAGGACGCACGTTTTTTTCTATTTGGGAATTAAGGCTATATCGAGGCGATACGCAGAGTATACACATATGCCAATAAGAGACTGATGATCAATTGCAGTGCTAAATATTAATGGGAAGATTCAAACAAAGAATACCAAGTGAAATAATGAATACATCTTTTACGCGGCTATCATTATTGTTTTATTAAGTTAATCACTTCATACATTATTTAATCCCTTTTTAATAGAATAAACTGACTGAGTCCTTAAATGAAGCTTTAAATTTTTGAAATCGATTCATTCCAGTTGTACGTACATAAAAAATTATTATTGATGATATTTTAAAAGAAAACTATACTAATGTATGTCAGAATTCACTAGGTAATGGTTGCTTGTATCTTCCAATTATTGTACAGGACTGCAAATGATCAATTTGAAGAGTTCTAAATAGGACGAGACGCAAGTCCTGGGTTTCACCAATAGTTATCATCCACTTTTGCTTATATTTATTTAAAAACATAAATATTGGTACAAAGGAGCACCAGATACATATGCGCCACACAAATCTCAACCCGAGCGCCCCCAAATGCCCTGGTACGGCCGAGAGTGGGGAGAGTCAGCTCTCCCTCTCCAAATGCCCTCACATGAACACGAGTATATAGCCTCTACCAGGGAAGTCCTACTCACTGCCTTCTAGTGACATTACTGTTGTTTACGAAATTGAGAGGATGAAAAGCGAATGTCCAGCGCTTTAACCGGGTTAGTGGACACGGCGCGTCCACCTAGGGGAGTTGGAAAACCTTGATTCCAAGCCAATGGTGCACATGGGCTGGCTCCAGTATCCTGAGGGAACAAATGTCGTATGAATCAATCGTTGGTCACTAGCTACCATGGGACTGCATCTCCTCACGACGACCCACTGCATTGTGGATCAGTGCAAGCATCTTTCATCCTTTAATCGGTGTTCTGAACATTCTTTAATATGTTGTTGATCTCCTCATTTCTGATCAAGTAGTTTACAAATAATATAGAACCTTTAATGCACAATATCAAAGCTTCATATGAATGATTTAAATTTTATTCATTTATTATAATTTATTAAGATATTTCATTAAAACGTTTAGTTAACAGTAGGGTATTTCAACCGAGTACACTTATAGATATGTATAGTAATTAATTAAATTAATGTGCATAGTAACTAGTTGATTGATAGATTTCAATTTTTTTTTAAAAAAAACATAATTATAAAAACAAAAAAATACAATGATATTGACGTCAAGTATACAGTTAATATTACCATTACTTGTACTCAAACAATGTATTGTATTTAAGTAGTATAACACATATAAAAAAGAGAATACACTTACTGCATTATGCTTAGTATTCAACAAAAAAACATATTTTCATATGTAGTTGAAATCATGAGTCAATTAAAGCCAGATCACCATGAAAAACCTTAATGCGCACTATTGAGGTGTCCAACAATAAGACGAAACGGCCGTCCAATGCTTTCAGGTTTTCCATGGTGGTCTAGCTTCAATTGATTCAGGATTATAAATATATAAAATTACTAAAACCCCCTTCTGAAAAAACATATTGAGTCAGCTAGTGTTTCCTATAGAAGTTGAATTTAATAAGGAATATTTCGTTACATCATATTTATAGGTATAAAGAAAGTTTATCTATAATTGTAATGTGAATCATTTGTTAATAGAACTAGAAATTATTATGGAAGAATGATTTATGTTGATTTTTTTGGATTTTAGAAGAGAGGTGTTATATCCCGAAGAGAATTATGAAGGGGAACTCTTGAGGACTATTTATGGACCAATATGATATGTATATTTCGTATTGTATAATGGTTAAGTAACTAAACTATTCATATTCGTGTCCCTCTTATTATCAGCTTTATTTTGACCTATGAACTATCATTATACGATTTACCATTCTTGAGGGATACCCAGTCTATTAATTACTGCTCCCCCTATTCACAGCCATATTTGGCTAACTCTTGTACAAATGTTATTTTCTATTTTATTGGTACGATGTGGTCTTTTTGTTTAGTATATAAACCCAGTATGTTTGTGAATAATGATTCATATTACAGAGACTGTTATTGGTGTTCTGGACTTAACTGGCTGGGCTAGACAGAAAGCAGGACCGACAAGTGCTCTAGACTGCTCGTACGGATTTCGTGTTTCACTGGTCTGATCGATAATTCACTGCTCTCTAATTGGCGGTCTTATCACACCATATATTATATGGGCATGCAAGTCACAAGATATAACA